ATGCAAAGTGAGTAAAGTAATTTGGAAAGGCTGTAAAGTTGCATGCAACGTGATAATAAACTTGGAAAGTTTGTAAAATTTGCATGTCAAGTGATTAAAGTAACGTGAAACGTCTATAAATTTGCTTGCGAATTGGGTAGAGTAACGTGTAAAGTATGTAATCTCGTGTGCCACGTCTGTATAATTAGTACTCTATTTATAAAAAAAGTTGCTAAAATTATAATTTATGAAAATCCGTTTGATTTACCTTTGATCAAATGAGTCGAAGGTTTAATGAAAATCGGGTACAAAATGTACGCCATTTTTGTTATGTCTATATACTACGACATAACATTGAAAACAGCACGTACAACGTCCCAACTACATTGTCTCTCACTGAAAAGTACACTTGACAGGGTGAACAATAATGGCCTTGATTTGTTTTGTGATCATTGTTTTGGAGGCAGTGTTAGTATATCCGCATTTAAAACCAGATTGGCCCATACTTCTAAAAATAGATTTATATTTATTTTTTCAACGTTGTCCATTAAAATTATAATGTCTACTGCCCTCAGATGCTTCATACAATTTAGAATAAATGTTTTAGTATTACTTGTTTTGCTTTTGGTATATAGCAATAGGAATAGTCTGATTTTAAATTTCTAAACTTTTAATAAGATTCTCAATGTTTTTCCCAGTTATCACCTTCAATATGGCTGAATGATCAGATAGAATTGAGTGCATAATAGAAACAGTTGTTCAAACTATCCTGCATAGAGTCTGAGGTCACCCAATAGTTCGAACGAACTGCGGATAATTATCTTGCCCATACCATCAAAGATGGAAGAGAAAGGTATATTTAGGGAAAATTTTCTGTCCGCCGTTGTCGTCGTCGTTAATAATTGTTATTGTGTGCATAATAACTTTACTAATTCTATTCCAAACGTTATCAAACTTGGTCACCTTATTCATCAGTATAAAGTCTTCCCTGAGTATGAACGACAGATGTCCTGTATGAAAATATCATGCAAAAATTGAGAAAATCGGATAAAATATTTTGACTTGACTGATCACTGGTGATAGACATTCAAAGGTCACTGATCTCAGTGGAAATATGAATTGTTGTATGTGTTCAATGAAGCAAATCATTGTAATAATATCATTGGTAATGTATCCCCCAAATCCCATGATACACATTTGCAAACCTACCAATAAAATACTTACAGAAAACAAGATGTCAGAAAATCAATATAAGCACTCCTATGAATTGGGTGCCAAACTTTGATCAAGATCTGAAGCTAATAGAAAATATGTTTATCAAATCAAAAACAATACATAAAAATTACATAAAAAGCAAAACGTTCCATCCACATTTTGAAAAAAAATATGTATTCTGTATTTGACAAACAGTTCATTCGACAAATGAAAACTCACAGGAATATGTTTCAGCTATTAGAACAGAATGATAGAGCTTTTATAATACGAATTTAAAAACGCACTTCAAAAATAAAGATTACAGTGTTTGAAGATGTAGATTCTCAGGAGGCAACAGTACTGTTGACTTCTCCCCCCACTGGACACCAACTAACTTGAATTGCATACAAAGCAGAGCTTGCAACATGATAGCTATTCATAGAGGGCGTTTTTTACTTTTCAAATAATACAGGAGTCACACAATGAATATAATAAGGCAGTTCATATTTTTCTCAGTGAATCATTAATTTTTGACAGACACCTGTACAAAATACTTTGACAAAAGCCAGCTAAGATTGTCTGTTATCTTGCATGTTTTATGAATCTATTCACGTCTAAATGCAGCATTTTTTTTTCTGAGATGCGGCTTTTGTTTTTATACTAAAATATCTGAATTACTTTGAATAAAGCTGGAAATTATGTCCTTTAAAATAATTAAACAAATTAAAGTGCTTGTTAATTGGCTGCTATTTTCACGCCTAAAATTATCCATTGATACATAAATATTATTAATTTTTATGTTTCTAAGCATAAATTATTTTTTTAAGTGAAAAAATGCGTTTTAAACTCTACAGTTTAAAGTCTACAGCAACTTTATTTTTGTGTATTTTAAAACGAGGCTCCTCATTAGCTTCTCATTTGCATACAGAAATTCACCTTGTGACGTCACAAGGGGAAGTTGCTGGGTAGCTGGCATTCCCGATACGTGTAAATAAGGCAAATTTCTTGTGCTGTTTTCACATCTTTGACTAAATTGCCACTTATGTACTTCTTCGTCGAATAAGAATGGATCATAATGAACACATTAGTATCAAGTTTGTTGCATGGGGTTCAGTCAGATGCGAAATATGTCCGATCTGGTGTCGCTAGTCACCGTGGTTGTCACAGTCACCGGCGCACGTTTGTACACTGTCGCTGGACTCCGGCACAAAATCGAATTTGACGCCTGAATCGTCTTGTTATTTAGCAGGTTACTAGGCATGTCACTACACTGTTTTATTTCAACGATCGTCAAACACATTAAAAAACACATTCAAAATTAAAATAAAAAGAAAACATATTTTGACATTCTAAACATTAAATTATAGTTATCAATAAAATAGAGAAATAATTAAAAAAAACGACAAATCACAGTTATTTTGTTGTGATGGGTGAACGCGTCGGGTCATGACGGGGACAAGTGCGTGAATGGCGGCGTTTAATTGGATAACAAAAATAATTGAGAGCGACTCACATACAGACAAATTCAAAGTGGATTTAGCATGATTTTCATAATTATGACATCATATTAAAGAATCACTTGTTGGAAACACATTGACAGCCCAAGCCCGGATTCTTATTCCATAAATTGTTACGCAGATCAAGCTGCAAGTAAAAGCAACAAAGTTCTGAATTCGACATTCAACACCAATCACCGAACAATTCAGACACTTTTAGCCTGCGAAAATGAAAACAGGGCTGCGTAATTTCCTGTTTGTCGGACGCTTCGTTTTCGTGTCATTATCAAAATTATTGCTACCTACCTGCTGGTCTCTATAAAGCGACAATCACGATCGCAAAAAAGTCAAATCATTTGAAACACTTTTACCCGGCGTCTCTTTCCCTTCTGAAATCCGCCTCAGTGATCATGGGCTGGTCCGGAATGGGTTTTGTTGAAAACGTTTTGTATTGCGCCTGGTTTAAGTTGTTGGCGTTTCTCGTTAAAACCTAGTTGTTTTGTCATGAAAAAAGAATCTGAGGTGAAGTGGACACTACATTTGACGCTGTAGTAGGGAGCAAGTCCACCCCAACCTTTTCTCGTTATTTTCACGGCGTTCGTCCACCGATTTCGCACCTTCGGAAAGAAACGTGTAAATACTTACACTATGAATATACGCATTACTGCAACCGCCCACAACACAACGTTTAACCATCATAAATATTTGTTGTGAAAATAACTTCTAAAAATTCTCTCTCTCAAAAATAACATAATATAGACAAAAAAAAAGAAACGCCGATCAAAAAATGTATATCGTTTAAAAGTATGTTGTTCCTCTCATATTTTAGCATTTGGTGGCGCACTTTCGGCGAGAGTCGGAAATCTGGAAACAGTCGACCGTTTCAGGATAGGTGGGCGTGGCTACAGCACGGGAAATATCTGAAATTTACATGGATACGAGTAATCATTTTCAGCAAAAAAATCAATAACTGCCCATTTCAGTGGGGCACAGATCTAAAATGGGAAACGTGTGGGTGAGCATTACACAGGCACTTTAAGCACCAATGATTTTGTAAGATATTTACATCTATCAAGGACATTCGGTAGTTTGCTTCCCCGTTGTTGTTTCAACCCCAAAGCTTGTTTATATTCAAAATTAATTATTGAAACAAACTATGATGAAAGGAATAATATTGTATAACAAAGGGCAAGGTCACCATAGTTCAACTATGTCATCTAATCTGATATTTTATTTTATTTAATAGGATCTCACTTGACCTCAAGTTGTCAACTGATCTGTCTAGTGTTGGATTAAAATCGCCATAACGTAATTAATATGTTCGTCAACTCAAAAATATCAATCAATCCAAACAAATAAATCGCCCGTTGTCATTAAAAATCTTGTTATTTTGAACAACAGTTTGTAGAAAATGGAAACTTCGTGAAACTTTGTATTCATTCTCTGTATGTTGATGCATAAATAAATATTTGGTCACTAAAATCAAACAAACTAGGAGGGGTTACAAAACAGAATTTCCACAGAAATGTAAAGTCTGGTGTTTTCCGTCACTTTTATAAATATCTGCCTCTACATGAATGAATGAATGAATGGATGAATTTTATTGTTCCCGTGTAAAAAAGAGTAGGTTACATAGGGTGTTTGCAACAATAAAGATTTTTTATTAACAAGACAATATTTTGAAAATAACTAGAATGAATGTACTTAAAATTCACAAATAAATATGTATAAAAAAAATACACAAATAAATTATTAAAGAAATCTAATCTCTAATTTTGGTCGCAGCTAAAATAAAGTTCGATATCTCTTGTTGAACTAATTTATCTTGATGTGAAAGTAAATATGTGAAACAGAAATGTTATTGTCAGCCGGGACTTTAATTTTATGTAACAGTTGAGATCTCTGCTGTTCATATTTTTGACAATCTAAAAGGAAATGGATCTCATCTTCAATGCAGTTATTACAAAATTGACAAAGTCTGCTATTTATTGGTACTTTTGGGATAGAATGTCTGCCTTTTTCAATAGCTAAACTATGATCGCCAATCCTGAATTTAGTGAACATTTTTCTATTTTCACCGTTCAAATTAAGTAAATAAGGCTCCAAATTATACTTTGTTTCAAATTTTGAATATGTTCTGAGTTTAGAATTTTCATTTGATATAGCAGTTCTCCACTTGTTCACATACCTGCTTTGTAAATTTGATTGTAAAATTTTACAAATTGTTGCTGTTTGTGTTTTGAGGATTTTTCTTTTCAGAAGAAAATCTAATGATGCTTCTTGTAATATGGTTTTAAGATTAATGAACCAACTATTTGATATAGATGACTTTTTCTGTTCATAGAATGCTTGTTTAGCTAGATTATCATCTGATAATTCTATGATATGCAGCCAATATTTTATTATTTGTTTTTTGATGTCAATTAAAAGAGGATATTGCCCCAATTCTGCGCTTGTTGCTAGATTACATGAGGTCCTGTTAATCTGCAAGATTGACTAGCATAACAGGTTTGAGGACAATTTAAAATATGCTCTGTGGTGGTGCATATATTCAAGTATTATATCGTATTATAAAAACATTATGAGATGGAGGGATTGTGCATAATGGCAGGGAACTCCACGCTGTATGTGTGATTCCCTGTAAATAATATAGCATAGCGCCAACATGCGTTATAGATGCGAGAATGGCCTCCATTGACCCATACACAAAATGGCTGCGCCCATCATATTTGGTGCGGTTGCAGTGGCTATATTAATTTTGCATGTCATACTAACCAAGTTTAAAGGGGTCCCTAAGCAAATGTGTAATTCTAGCAATGTATTGATTGTTACTGCTCATCCTGACGATGAATGCATGTTTTTTTCGCCATTTATTTTGACACTCAGTGCGTTTACATGTGGTATTTATTTGACTTGTCTCAGCAGTGGTAAGTTGTGTGTTCCATAAAATGGATGTTTTTTTTATTACAAATGTTTTATTCACCCCATCCGTTTTAAGTGGGACCCTACTTGTTTTACTTCCATGATAAGATATGGGGTATTATAGATTTAATAAGATCGCTGAAATCTGATCTGAACTAAGGGAGGGTTATTGAAATTGGGGGGGGGGGGTTTAAATAAAGTTAATTTAAATAGGAATGTGGTTTCTGTAATAGTTTTGTTTAATTAAAATTCTTTATGCTTTGATTGAAGTATTAGTTTAAATTTTACCTCTGCATATGAATTCTCCAGGTTGCCATATGTATATGTATTCAACATAATATCAGCAATCCCTGATTCCTCTCAACAGGTAATTACTATAACAAGGGTCTTGTGAGAAAAAAAGAATTAATAAAAAGCTGTGATATCTTAGGACTTCGAAAAAAGAATATTTCCGTAATAGAAAATAGGTAAGTAGTTTAATTGGTGTCTATGATAATCATATACTTTTAGTGCATAACACTGTGTTGTAGTATTACCACCCATATCACTGATAGTTAAATGCACTAAATTAAAACCCTGTACTGAATATTTAAATTAAAACTTAGTGATTATGCAAATTAAAACTCAGTAATTATGCAAATTAAGTTAATCATACTTAGAATGTATTGTTTCCTCACAAACAAACCAGTGAATTTAAAACCCAGTGAATATCTCAGAATTGATATGTCAAGCGTAGTACCGCGTCCTGTTCGATATGGGACTCATAGCGACGTATACAACGCATGTAAAATATATTGTTTATTTACATGAAATTCGAACACGTGCCACGTGACGACCACCGCCCTTTAAATATTTTAAATATAAGCGTAAGGCAATTGTATCCATTGATTGAGGAGGTCAATGTGATCCAGTACTACAATGTGGATTTTGTGATATTCTCGTAATAACCATATTATTATTTGTTCTCCCTTTATTCAATGAGAGATAACGATCCAAAATGGGCCATTCCAGTTTATATCTGCACCCCCTGTTGATGAGGTCAGATTTCCAGCACTGTATGATGGGGAAAATACCTCGGAATTCCAACTGTATATGGAGAAACAGAATCTGGAAATCCAGACAAGTATGGAAAAAAAAAATCCAGGCAGTTATGGCTACAAAATAAAATATGACCTAGTTTATCTCGCCGCATACCGGTTGATGAGGTTGGATTTCCAACAGTATGACTAAAAAAACTTGGAATTCTGACTGTATATGGTAAAAAAATTGGGCCAGTATGAAATAGTTATTAGTGAAATTAGATAAGGATGGTGGCACGAATGAGCTCATCAACACCGTGAATCAGGACTAGTTTGGATTTCCATTGTCAAATATAAAATTTTGAACTTAGTAAATTAGCATATAAGAGTTATGTTTGGAAATCTTACTCTGTATGGTGGCACAAAGGAACTCATCAACACCATAAGTAGAAACTAGTTTTGGATTTCCATCACTGTATGGTGAATGGTGATTTGGAAATAAAACTTTGTATGACTTATACATCCATGGAAATTATACCCTGTATGAAGTAAACACACAAGCTCATCAACAGGGGGGTGCAGATATAAACTGGAATGGCCCAATGCAGTCAAAAAGTTTTTTTTACAAAATTCATGCCCATGTAATCATATACAATCAGTATGTGATTCTATTCGTCATGCTCATAGTTGTTGTGTGTGATGTAAACAAATAACAATTTCCGAGTGTAAAATAATCTGTCACAACATCGGTGGCATTACCTCAAATAAAGACAATTTTAAACGTACTAGAATATTCCTAAAATTCAATTAGGATCCTGGCATGCTCGCCAATTGTCACAGGTTCGGGCGTTGTTATTTTATTATTGTTCATACAGGAAAGTCATGTTCGAGCACTCACACACAATAAGAACACTGTGGTACATTATATCATATTTATATACATAAAGCAAGAAAACAAAACTAACGTACATAACGGTTATATTTCTGAATTATGGATTCAATATGCATATTGTTCATTTAAATACAATTGTACTCCCGTACTCTACAGTCTGGCTTTAGAAATAATTGCAAAAATAACTTCACATTAATTATAAGTACTAATTTCACAAGTGAAAATATTACGTTTTTTGGCATTTTTTTTGCTTCTTTTTGTGTTAGGCGGTTACTGTGATTCTTGAATAAAATTTTATAACACATCTTTCTATTTCTAAATCAGTTCATGTGTTACCTGATCAGTGCTTTTCCCTTCTTGTGAATAGTTATTGAATCACTGTGTTGGGCAGAATTGTATCGGCCAGTACAATACTTGAGATGAAAAGTGAATAAAACATGAAGTGGTAACATGTTTTGACTCAATCAAAATTGGTTTTGTGCTTTGCTCAGACTTGGTGCATATGACTGTATGCTTTTTAAAAACGTTTGATTTTGGTATGCTTGGCTTTCTACCCACTCTTCATAATCAATAGACAGGATTACCATATATAACATATGACCAGCAATACATGAAATATGAACATGAATGTGTTGTGCTACAGATGTGTTCTCTTGTGATAAACTATAGTCTTTCAGTTCAAAGTTGGTATATTTTTTTGTTTCAGTGCTTTACCTGATAACCCCTCTGTACAATGGAATGAGGATCTCATTGGTTCAATAGTTTTGGAGAAGATAAAAAAACATGATATAGACACAGTAAGTGACTGCTTTATAGCAGGTAATGCCCATCATACTTTTCCATTCTCAAAATATGATTCAAGGCAACCATCAACAAGGAACCATGTGGTGATTCAGAAATTTCAAATTAAAAAAAATGTTGCTACTTAACAAATTTCAACACAATATATAGATCACACATCCATAGTAAAGTTACGTCAATGTTCATTTCTCTGTGATCAATTTTCAGGGCTGATAAAAGTTGTTGACATCTGCATCTGATTTGATGTTGCAATAAAGAGTCTATGTACAATTCAATTGAACCTATAATAGCACTTCTTAATGTATACCTCATGGTTCACATACAAACCTTCATGGTTCACATACAAGCCTTCATACAAGCCTTCATGGTTCACATACAAAGCTTCATGGTTCACACACAAACCTTCATGCTTCACATACAAAACTTCATGTTCCACATACAAACCTTCATGTTTCACATACAAGCCTTCATGGTTCACATACAAGCCTTCATGCTTCACATACAAACCTTCATGCTTCACACACAAACCTTCATGCTTCACATACAAACCTCCATGCTTCACACACAAACCTTCATGCTTCATATACAAGCCTTCATGGTTCACATACAAACCTTCATGCTTCACACACAAACCTCCATGCTTCACATACAAACCTTCATGGTTCACATACAAGCCTTCATGCTTCATATACAAACCTTCATGCTTCACATACAAACCTTCATGCTTCACACACAAACCTTCATGCTTCACATACAAACCTCCATGCTTCACACACAAACCTTCATGCTTCATATACAAACCTTCATGCTTCACACACACACCTTCATGCTTCATATACAAGCCTTCATGGTTCACATACAAACCTTCATGCTTCACACACAAACCTCCATGCTTCACATACAAACCTTCATGGTTCACATACAAGCCTTCATGCTTCATATACAAACCTTCATGCTTCACATACAAACCTTCATGCTTCACACACAAACCTTCATGCTTCACATACAAACCTCCATGCTTCACACACAAACCTTCATGCTTCATATACAAACCTTCATGCTTCACACACAAACCTCCATGCTTCACATACAAACCTTCATGGTTCACATACAAGCCTTCATGCTTCATATACAAGCCTTCATGCTTCGTATACAAACCTTCATGGTTCACACACAAACCTCCATGCTTCACATACAAACCTTCATGGTTCACATACAAGCCTTCATGCTTCATATACAAGCCTTCATGCTTCGTATACAAACCTTCATGCTCCACACACAAACCCTCATGTTTCACATACAAGCCTTCATGGTTCACACACAAACCTTCATGGTTCACATACAAGCCTTCATGATTCACAAACAAACCTTCATGCTTCGCATACAAGCCTTCATGGTTCACATACAAAGCTTCATGCTTCACAAACCTTCATGCTTCACACACAAACCTTCATGCTTCACACACAAACCTTCATGTCCCACACACAAACCCTCATGTTTCACATACAAGCCTTCATGGTTCACATACAAACCTTCATGCTTCACATACAAACCTTCATGCTTCACATACAGACCTTCACGGTTCACATACAGACCTTCACGGTTCACATACAAACCTTCATGCTTCACACACAAACCTTCATGCTTCACATACAAAACTTCATGCTTCACATACAAACTTGGTTACGGATGAGAATCGTCTGTAATTGTAGATGTAATAAGAACTGTTGTACTTCATTGTTGTGTTGATCTCATTCTGTCTGTATTCCAGATTTGGGATGTTTAATCCTTAAGTTATAGTTTTACTGCATTTTTATTTCAGGTAATAACATTTGATGATTATGGTGTAAGTGGACATAATAATCATATTGCGATATCCAAAGCAATTAGGTAAAGCATAAAGATTTATTTCTTTGTTAATGCAAGAATTTTTTATGAAATGTACAAATGATTGGGATGGCTAGATTGATCACATTCTAGATTTGTAAGATGACAATTACAAGTGCATTTTAATTTTTGTTGATGATTTGGTTTTATCATCATTTCTCTGACATGTAATGAAGGATTCTATTTGAAGTTACTTCAGTACATGTATATATACAGACAGTACTCCGCAAGACGTATGTGTAACCGATGTACCATCTAGATCTTTGCTCATTCATTAATTCGCAGACACAAAGAGTCAAGAGACAACAATGACGTCATTTGATTTCATTTAAAAAAAAATATATATATGCATCTGTGTACAGCATCCTTATACATGTGTGTCACTGTGTTAACAGTTTCTGTCAAACTTGGTCTGACGCAAATACATTTTAATTTACCACTGCACAATATTCTTCTTCAATGCAATGCAATCCAATGTGGGTACGTTTTTATTTACTATATATCCAAGTCCATTGCTATTTGGAGTTGATGAGCTTGACCAAATTTTTTCAGCATATTACATGAAACAGTCATTTTAGTTTTATCTCAAAGACGTCATAAAACTAGTATATATTATTTTTAATCATCAGTTTTGTCTGTTTTGGGGTCTTTTAAATGTTTTCTTAACCATTGATTTATGGTTTTCTTTTTATTAAACTTTGTGTCAAATATTTACATCTATTTACATATTTCAACATATTTCAACATGAAAGAGAATGATTTTACAAATTGTAGCATCTGTATTTTCTCTGTAGAAAGTTAAAGTCTCAAAAGAAACTACCACCTGGTATGTATGTACTGGATGTATTTATTGTTTCAAGCAGAATTGCACATTCATAGCATAGTTGTACTCTTGCAGTACTATGTTAGGTTCTTACTATGAATACAATTGTAGAACACATTTTCCTTTCTACTGTAACAATTGTGTAATACTGCATTCGTTCATGCCTTACCTAATCAATGGTTTTACCCTTGCTGTGAATAATTACTGAATCCCTGTCTGACTTTCGATGATCACAAGTTGAGATATTTGTGGAATTTGTCAGTAACTTTTGCATTATGTCAGAAAGTTGATCGGTGTATGTGTCACATTATCTCTTAATAGAAACATACACTTACATAAATGACAGAGGTATATCTGTAGTTACAGGTATATTATAATCATCAATGTACATTTCTATTAGAGATGTTCTCTATGGTAAACTTAAAACATATTTACAGGGACCAGTGCCTACAGCCTGGAAAGTATACCTATTTGGAGAAAGTATATTGGTGTGTTGGATCTCCCAATTTCTTATTTGTCTAGTAATATGGTGTTTATTTCTCAATGGTCAGATGTCTGGAAATCACAGGTAAAGAAATTTAGTAACAGATAGTAAAATCACATTATGGCAAATCATAAAGAATGTAAATGCTAGTGAGGATTCCTAATTTGACATTAATATAAACAAGCAGCCTGCTGCAGGGTCCATAGCATTGGGAAAATCCTTTGAAAGTCTTTGGATTTTTCGATGTCTGGAATGTCTTTGAGTTGGCTTTAAATTACAGGAAAAATTAAAAAATCTTTGAAAAGTCTTCATAGTTATTAATTTATTTTAGAAAGATCTGTTTTTTCCAGGGAACTACCATATCTTCAGAACTTTGATAAGCTTTAGTGATGATGTTGGCCTGAATTACGGGTCAAAATGCAAGAAAGTTTGGGAAAAGGTCTGGAAAAGTTTTGGAAATCATTTGGCTCTTGGTGCTTAGGACCCTGTGTTGGCAATATAGTTATAGAATCACACAATAAACAAATCTGACTAAGGGCAACCCAAGGTGTCTACATAAGAAACATCAAAACAATTTGGCTTGCCATTATTATAAAACATTTGTGCAAGCTAAAAAAACAACAAAGCAGTGATTTTTTTTTTATGCATATTAATTGCCTTTTTTGCATGAATGGTGATTTTATCTGCACATTACCTATGATGATGATTTCTTCAGTACTAAATAGATTTAGTTCTTGAAAATTACATCAACATTATTAAATAGAACATGTTCTTTTATTTTCCAGAAAGCCATGTGTGCACACTGGAGCCAGTTTGTGTGGTTCCGGATAATTTATATCGCGTTCTCACGCTACATGATCATCAATACGCTTATACCTATTGTTTGAAAACCACAAAATAGTAAGAACTCTCCAACTTGCATGCTGTGGTCAAATAACAATTCTGAGGGAATTTCACTTCTGACTTTGCAAGAAATGTCTCAAGGAACCAAGATTCCAAAAACTGAAGAAGAAATATCCCAAGTTTAACTTTACCGATTTGAAGATACAGGAATGTACAATACATTTCAAACTCGCTGGTTTGTGAAAGAAACATTACACTCTAAAGTGACATATATTGTGACAGTGTGTATTTATTAGGTTTTTATTTAACATACTTGGCTGTATCACTGAAATATATAAAGTTGTATTCCCACTTTGCAAACCTGTGAGGTACCATCTCCTGACAATTATATACATGTATGAGAAATTAACTGTAAATTAAGTTAAATTTAGAAACAATAGACACTCACTGAATAAGGTGGCTCTGTTTGTCTTAGTCTGACATCTAAGACATGAGTAGGCCCTCGGCATCAGACCTCTCTAACGCCTGACAGAATAGTGTATGTCTCTTCGGCAAGATCAATACTGCGAATTCGCAAAGTTCACGCCTTCTTGCAATGAATTTCAATGAATATTCATTTTGGTGGCCATTGTACCATCGTCAATCAAAGCCGTGTTTGCATTGTCGACAAAAATCACACTGTTTTCTTCAACAAGATAAACATTGGGCGGAAATAAACTCTGCCGTGAATGGTTACTCTTTGATGGCTGTCACTATCTGGCGTTCCTGCAATTTGATTGGTACCAACAACAAATTGTCTGGGGAAGTGAAAAACTACATCGTTCTGTCAGGCGTGTGTTGGGTTTGGAACACCGTGGTGGGCGCAACGCACCCAACCTCGTCAGGCAATGTTTGTCTTTGAAAGTTAGTTACATTAATATTCAGTAAATGTTCCAAATGAACATTGAATACAATGGTGTTTTAGTTGCTTAGCTCATTGGCACACACTTTGTTTATATCTTGTGTCAAGACCAAGTTTAAAAACAGGTCAGATTTAGCCTGTACTTTATAACCGATTCGAAGTCTACTGAGCGTTAACGCATGTTTTTTTTTGCACATACCAACATTTGTTACCTCTTAGCCTGTGTTAAGGATGTATGTGTGAACACAACTATTGTAGCTATGTTTGTCTGGGGAATAAAAAAAAACTTCCAGTACTTTCAAAATGAAATGTGTGAAAAAAATCAGCAAATATAATTTTACATATTTAATGTTTCTAGCTTTTATCTTGTTATGAAAGTGACGTTTCACATATTTTCCATGTGGGAGTGCAACTTGATGGAGAAAAAAACACAGTTAATAATCATGCATACAACTCATCAGTATGATGTGTAGTGGACATTTTGAAAAATGTGATCAGTATCCACACTCACTGCAAATATGTTAGGAAATATAAGAATATATATTTCATTAATTTACACATCGTGGCTGTGATTAATGAATTCAAGACACTTATTATATTCAAGAGATAAATTACGGTTACTGTAGTTATTTATTAATTACAAATTTTAATAATAAAATATATTTTTACAGAAGAGTCTAATTTTTTTTGCTGTGTTATTCTCTTGAGTGATGTAAAGTACATAGCCAGGTTGGTCTGCTCCAACGCAATGGTTACGAAACTGAAATTTTCAAACTCCGTTCTTTATATCCTTAACAAGGTTACATACAATAATTTTGAATTAAATATCTGCCCTCCTCTATTTCTTATTCTTATTCGTGCATTTATATACACAGTGTAAAGTCAACTGAAAGTCATTGTGAGGGAAAATTATCCCTTGGATTTATCCTTGAATGAAGGATTTTTTGCCATAAAGTCCTCCCAGTTTGCACCATCTACAGACGCCCTTGTCACGTCCTTCATTGTACCTGGATCCAAACAGTGTATGGCTATACCTGTAAACAAATGTTAAATAATCAGTTGTTTTTTATCACACTATTGCATAAATACTACTAGTGAACATGTAATATCCTCTTTATTAAATAAGTGTTATATTCTTTCATATGTTCTAAGCTTTTGTCTGTCACAGTGCAATCACTAAAATCAGTTGCTCTGTGTGTGAGTGGGACTCTTCATATGCAGTTATGGAGGTATTGTGGGGAACAAAATCAATACTTGCGCCACCCGAGTTCACCAGCACATTTCCCTTAATGTAATTTTCACAAAGTATCAATTTCGCACCCCACACCGACCTCAATTATGATATCATGCAGTACTCTGACTCTAAACTCAGTTGTGTCTAGCTGGCACACCAATGCTGATATTCATAATCACATCACTGTATCTACCTTTTCCATCAGGATTAGATCGTGGACTATAGAAACTCTGTACACCACACGTCTTACAGAATGTGTGCTTGGCAACGTGGGTATTGAAGGTATAACATGTCAAGTTGTCTTCTCCCTGCAAGTGAAAATTATGTGTAAATAACAGAAGTGTGTCTGATCATATTTTAATCATCCAGTATACAATAATGTAATTTTTTATCTATGTACAATTCTATTACAAGGGTAGTTGCATCATCGATGGCAATAGTTATTTTCTTATTATGATGTGCATGCATTCATGGTGCACATTTACTATTGGTGCATTTATAAACACTGCAACAATTTCTGGGCCAAAAACAGTTAAAGATGCTTAACCTTTTCACCACAAGTTTCCTCTTTTTATCACAAATTCACAAAATAGTCCCGTTTATCATCTGCACTTTCCTTCAGAAGATTGGGACAAAAATAGCCGATTTTTATTTAGTAAAAAAAAAAAAACTGAAAATTGACTCAAATTTTATCAGTTGGCTCCAAAAATAGATTTCAATTCTATAAATATTGAAGAATATAAGAAAAAAGTACAGAAAAATTTTGGCAAGAAAGTCTGGTGATGAAAAGGTTAATTAACAAATACAGAAACCATACAATGCACCAGTAGTATATGATCTGGAATTATTGGTAGTTTATAAAAACAGATTGTGTGTTCAGGTTTCAACTAAACTATCATCCTTTCATAACTTTACAGGACAAACGAACAAATATTAAAAAATACTGAAAACATGTGTACCTGCAGAATTTTAAATTTAGAGTTTGGAACGATGAAATGATGATTTTGCTTCTTCACACATATACTGCAGCTGTAAAAAACATTAGAATTAAAACATTTTTTTTTTCAGTTTCTCAATCACCAACCAAGAGGAATACTATTACAAAAATATTTTTTACCTATTATGAACATTAAAAAAAAAGAAAACATGGCATATCGTATTTATTTAGTCTCAGGACAAATCTACAAATGGTAGCCAGATGCTAGAGATTCAAATGGAGGCTCATGACCCCTTTGAAACCCAATTCCAAATATGGTTGCCTTTCACAAATAAACCTGCATAAATGTTTCCATATTTTTACAAAACTTTTGATCAAAAACAATATCCAATGAGAAACAAGACATAAATGTCACAGTAATCACCTTTGAAAAAGTAATACTGAGATAAAAGTTATTTTGTTTGATTGTATCATTGGTAAAACAAGCTATTGCTTCACATAGGCCCTGTGAGTTTTCAAGAGATATGGCATCAGAACTGCATTCACTAAAACAAAACGGCAACCAGTCGGCCATTTTGAGTCTGACAAGATAAACAAAATGATGTGCATTATTAAAGTCCCATAAAGTGTAATGTACATACTGAGTTTGAAAATTTTTTTTATGCATGACCAAGATGCAGATCGAGAATTGCAAAAATGCTTGTTTTTGATGAATTTTTTACATCGAATCATCTGTGATTTAGCCATCTTGAATCGGACAACCAGAAGAATATATATATATGCATATGTGTGACATATGTAATGTTTGAAGATGATCAGTCAAGGCTTGTCAGAGATACAGCTCTGGAACAGCATTCGTTAAAATCTGATCTGAAAACAATCTGATGAAAAACCCAATTTTGTTATTTAGTTAAGTTAGTGTGTCTGTATGTGTTTCCACTTGTTCCACTGATATCTAAAGAACCACTCATTGGATTTTTTATGAAACTTGGTACATAGATGCTCTGGGCAATGCGCAGATTTGATTAGTTTTTGGTAAAAATCCATGCATATTAATTACCTAATTTGCATGATAATTAGCTATTTTTTAGCTGTTCTATGACTGTTCCACTGATATCTAAAGAACCACTCATTGGGTTTTTTATGAAACTTGGTACATAGATGCACTGGAACAATGCACAGACCTGATTAATTTTGTGTAAAAATCTTTTTTTTTTTTTTTTTAATATTTTTTTATTACTTTAAATAAATACATTTACAAAAAAAAAAAAAAAAAAAAAATTACAAAAAATGAAAAGTTGATGGCTTAAAAGAAGTGGAAGTGGGGGAACATTATTGATAAGCTGACAAATCTGGCTAATAAGTGATTTACTCATAATTGAAATTGTTCCATTTTTCATTAAATTTAGACATTG